GCACCTCGGAATGATTGTGTTAAGCTAGCACCAAGTCCCTCCCCCATCCACCTTTATTCTTTTCTTTACAATAAGGCTTTCAAATAAGTCATGGTTGTACGGCAGTGAAGCATCGGTGTTGAACACTGATGTCATCCTGTCGATGATGATTATTATTTTGTACTTCCAGTTTTGAAGGTTACCAGTGGTGACCGAAATGTTAAGCTGTAAATTTCGCTGTTGTTTTATCCCATCATAATTCAATCAAATTTAAGAACATCTTTGTCCTATGGAAATTGTTGAGCATAGCAAACCCTGAACGACTTACTGCAATAAGGACGCCGTGTGGATCTTCGAGATGGCTTGGGATAATAACAATCTGAACTCATATCATTTACTATGCCAATGGCTGAATAACCACTTGAGCGCGCTACGGTAACAATTAGCGTACATTCCACAAACGAAAGCAATGTGCTAAAGCACCACACTGCTCACGCACCCAATAATCTGTATCATGATAGTTGAACCCCCTCCACATTGAACCCTCCTACGAACCGTACTCACTAGACGATGAACGCACTTGTCGGCGGTCCGACCAAGGTCGAGCTGATATCATGCCTGAAGCTAAGGGTTAACGAGGAACAGCGCAAAACATAACTTTGATGAGTCTCGTTATCCTGAATAGGATACATGACGGTGTAATGAAGCAAACTACGCAGTGAAAGTGCGAATAAGCCTATCGGACAAGTTCCAAACGGAATTAGTGGAAAGGATTTCGAACTTGAACATCGCAAACTTAAATTGAAATAGATGTTCATCCAGCTACTACTCGGTAACGCCACGAATTCCTGCTTAGCAAACAGAAGGCTTGTTGACCGTGACTGAAGAAACGAAGTGGAATGTTCCAACAACAAAGCAGTGGCGGTTCTGATTAAGTGCGCTGAAAATTTTGAATGATTGAACATTTAAAACGAAATCCGCTTTTTGCTGAAGTGGATGTGAAGCTCAACAGAATGAATTCCTAATGAGTAGGTGCACTGAAAACACCTTTTAGAAAGCGCATTCTTACTTTGATGAAAGGAACGAAACCTTTGGTTGCCGCATTTTTCAAGACAATTTTCACAGAAGTTGAACCATGCGTATTCGTCGCTCTTCTCATGGACTAAAATACGCCCAGAGTTCAACAATGCTACTATTGATTGCTTCCAACAATCACTTGGACTACGTTGAGTTACGCGCAAAACCGTTCAAATGTAGGTTTATCAACATAAGTGTGGGATTACGCCGGCTTCTATACATCAATTCAGGAGCTGCTAATTTCAAACGGGACCTCGAATTTCACACCGACTCAAGTTAACGTGGCCATAAGATAGTGTTGACTTAAACAAGACGTGCGGTGACAAGGTCGAAGAGTGGTTCACAGTCAGGTCAAAACAAGGAAGACAGTAAAGGCGCAGAAACGGGAACAACAAGAACGGGCTCTGGATTTTCATCGGATCCAGAATTCTCCAGACTAACCAGTATACTGTTGAACTTCGAATCGGACCAACTGAATCAAACGTCGCAAAGTACCAAGAAAACGTCAATAAATTGGCCTCCCACACCAGAAGTGGAAACAGCAGTTTCTCTAGTACAAAATAAAGTCACTGGGTGTGACGGATCATCTGTTCAAAGTAGGTAGGCAAATAATTGCTTTGCCTAAACTGTTCAATATGAGAGGATTAAAACGGCATCATAGTATTGCATTTACTTAAAAGGATCCAAAGTCTATAAAAGACAGACGACTGTCGAGGAATCGATACAAAGTGAATAATCAGGGTCCACTCTCGTGAATCTCCTTGAGAAGCATTACAAGTTATCGTTTTTCGGAGAAAAAATGGCGAAAATTTCCACCCTACCAATCCATCCTCAATTTACAAACCGCGGTAGTCAAGAGAAAAAGAATTAATGATCAAGCTGAATATATTTACGCAGAAGCAACGGTAGGATAACCGAACAAGCGCTGAATATGACGGAGCTCCATATTCATCGGGGCTTAGAATTCATCATTGAAAGGATACTCCTTCGATGACTTCATTCTGAAATATCAAAGATTACCAAGCAAACAAGCGAAAGAATTTACCCGAGGAGTTTAAACTGACGTTCATTCACTCCAGACGTATGAAGCACATGCATCTCATCCTTGCTCAGCGTGAAATCGAAAATCTTGAATCAGAAAAAGAATGAGCGAAAAAGTGAATGCTTGGAAAGGCCGAATGGGCACGGTAACTGATCTTAGTCTCTACAATGCTAACGGAAAGGCGAAATCTTTAAACAGGAATCGAATCCGCGACCTCCTGCTTACCTGAAGAGCTTCCGTTTGCATTGTGTTCTTCGATCCACATTTAATATTTCCAAAAACCCCTGCATCAGCTCAAAACCAATGCGCTTCCAACGTCTGACTCACTGTGGAAGCCATCAATAGTATAGACAGACGTCGAACATATGAACGGTATTGCCGGTACTTGTGAGATAATTAACCGCCCTTTCGACGAATATTGTGTACTAACAAAGAACTGGACAAGAAATCCGGTTTGAGTCTGGTATAGACAGAAGATGGTGAAGCAAACATCCGAATCGGTGAAATTTTGACTCGTAACATGAATAAGATTAAGCAAAAGCGATATTTCAGTTATTTCCCTTTGCTACACGAAAATCCCTATAAAGGTGTCCCCATCGTTTGCTCTCAAAAACGACTGCCTCGTTACTGTGCAGGATCCACCATGCATTGTTAATTTGAAAACTATTCCTACAGGAGTCAGCCAGCACATCCGACTGTCACGCTCTCATTAGCCGTTGCACCACTAAATTGGCACAACCTAAGGTGTTCAAGCGTGACTGTCCCTGCCCTACTGACACGCCTGATGTCAATTAGAACAACTGTGAGAGACGAAACCACCGTAGGTGCTTTACAAAGTGCTGTCTACGGAAACGCCACAAAAGATCGATTAATAGTGATCTTTTCTGAGAGCTGTTCCTTCCAGAAGAGAGAACAAACGCAGCCAAAAGGTTGAATGGCTGATTGGCTGAACTTTATGAGTTCACAACGGGACTAAGGCACACGTACCGGAAGCCACCTTCTGAGCGCACAGTAGTCTGTCCAACCCACACGGCTGCAACAGACAAGTGCGAGGAACGGCATAATGGCCTCGCCGAAATAGCGGTGAAATAAACATTTGTCACTTTGTTCTCAGAACTGGAAGATATCGGCAAAATACAAATACATCTCCAAACAAAGTGGTAAACACGGCGGACGGCATAACAGCTAAATGTATATTTGCTTTTGTCTTATTCTGGAAATGTCCTTTCTCTAGCGAATATTTTAACCGTGGTCTAAAGTTACACATCCGTTGGACAACTGTTCACAACCAAAAAAATCGTTGTAAGGTCGAAGCCCTTAAAGAAATTGAAATATGGTATTCTAATAAGCCTAACAATACTACACTCCCAGTTAACCTTTCATTTCCTACGTGCTTTCCGATAAAGAAACAGCAATGTTAACTCTAAAACCCTTGCCCGTTGAAAAACGACATCCTATCTTAGGAAATGACAAAGATGTTGCACAAACCGAGTGTGACTCAAGTCCGGATGTCCATTTAAGTTTGAAGTATTCACTTGAACTCACAATCCAGTGCACCACTGTATTTTCGAGTGGGCAACTGGTCGGATCGAAGCCATTTCTCAACGGATCACTGAACGCTTATGTGTTGACTTGTTCCTCTCAGCACTCGCTCCGTAATAAATATACATGCAATCCTATCAGAATGTAGTTTCATTTCTAATCGGGTCTGAACCGTTTCTCAAAGTGTTCACAGAAAGTCTGCAGACCGAGAAGGTTGGACAAAACAATGTGAAGGGGCTACTCACCTTGGAATTCTCCAAAATGCGCTTTGGTGTAACGGATTTGGGGATGACAATAAGGTTTCTTTGTAACAAGTAGCGAAGCAGAACCTGAGCTGGTGTTTTGTTGTGGCGCTCCGCGATTGAACATACCCACGGTGCAGTGAGGAGATCAACTTGTCCACTAGCAACAAAAGCAGGGAAAGATGTGAAGAGAAAAAGGCCTGATAAAATTACGCTTCCGACCTATCTTTAGGTAGATGAATACTGCATTTGTCAACCCAGAAAAACTGCTAAATGGTCCCGTTTACCCGTGTGCGTGATGGTAGTCGATTGTGTAGCATAAACCTCATGAAAACAAACAGCAGGACTACCTAGATTTCTCATCACAATCCATTACTATTGCATGGAATTGAGTAGCTTTTGGTCGGCGTCTACTGACTTGGTAGACCCCATCAGGAATCGAACACAATGCCGTCCCTCTAGATCGATTTCGATCATATTTCTCGTAGGTTCTACCTGAAAATATGTGATAATCGAGTCGCCACAATTTTAATTAGAGTGCGGAAAGTGGTCAAACACGCTCAGTCGCACACTAATTTAGCTGTAGCGGGAGACAATTGAATCAAAGATGAATTTCTC